CGATATTTAAGCACAAGAAAGCAGCGTTTGGTCGTGTGGTCTTGCAAATGATCCGTTTTGACATCAGAATTGCACCCAACTGCTCAGGAGGGGACGTCACCAAAATTCTCCTGATACTTCTGCAAGCCCAAGTACCTCTTGGATTTTAGACCCTTCAGCTTGGATGTAATTGTATAGGTTTTGGGTCGGCTTGTCTATGAGGTTGGCCTTGGGATGCAAACAGCAACTACTGCTGGCGATATGCCTCCGATATGCATGACCGTGCCTGGACCTTCCAGAAGCGTCTTTGCCGCCATTGAATGCAACCCAAACCAGGAATTTGCTGTAAGAACTGCAATGCATTAAAGTAAAGCATCTCCACCTGACTTGAAATCCCTTTGGTGTATTTTCCAGTTTCCTGTCCAGGACTGGCCAAAGAATGGCTGAACACAGGCCATCCCCTGCGGCTTGGGGAGGCGGGCATTGTGCCATCTGTCCTTGGTGTGGCAGCACAGGTCCCTTGGATTCGTCAAATCCTGACTGATGAATACCCGGAATCGTTACGCAACTGTGCAACTCGAAGTGCAGCAAAGAGAATGACTTGACATGTTTAAGTTTATCTTCTATAATTACTAGCCTCCTTTTGTGATTAGTTTGAGCAAGTCCGCGCCCGGCAATCAACACGTCAACTTGCTATCACAAAGAAAACTGTCATGCGCAGGACGGCTCCCAGGAACCCAAGTTGACACTCGATATGCATGCATATCTATACCTATATAGTTTCTTTTTCCCCTCGGTTCTGACTACTTCATATAAAAAAAAACTCTACTGTGTTTTGCAAGATTCCTCCCCAGCCAAGAGTTTTGTTGTTTTCGGCTTTCATCTATATACTGTAGGCGGATGTGGCTCACAGAATCTCATTGCATGCTGCCACTCTAAAATATTGGAAGGTGCACCCGCTGATCCGCCCTGGAGCCATCAATCCTCCCTGGGGGCTCCAGCAAACCTGCACTGGCCAAATCGCCAGTGGCCAATGGCGCACCATCCTGGTTAGTCACCCGGTGAAGAAGTCATGACTTTCATTGCGGCCATTACCAGCGAGGAGCGCCTGCCACTTGTAAACTAGAGCAAGCTAAACCTATCAAATGCAAGGCCACCCAACATGACCTAACAAGCATAAGGTTCCATGATTTACACATGCCCGATGCCTTCTTCCAGGTCTCATGAATAAAACCTCTTTTTAGATCAATCAGTGTTCTTAAAGCATCAGTATCAGTGGCATGCGCAGTGGCACTATAAACATATGACAGTAATGCTTTGATTAAACTTTGGCATAACAAGCATCACCAAATGTGTTGCCCACAAGGCCCTGGCATATGAAGGTTCGCCTCCAAAGATTTGCCTTGGACAGGCAATCTAGAAGTTTTTGATGATACCTCGACTAGTTCTTCATATATGTTTTTTGAAGGTGTGCAATTCCAGAACGACTTTTAAAACTTTTGTCTCATTCAATCACGGCCGGAAAGCAGTTGATTCAAAAACCCAGCATTCATCAACTCGAAGTCTTCGCAAATCAGATCGGGAAGCACCCAAATCATTTGCCGGTGGAAGTCAGTGGAAGTCGCAAATTCTGACCCCTGCACAAGCAGGGTGAGAACAAGGGAGCAGGATGTATACAATGGTCTGCAGGGAGGGCATTCCCGCAAAACTTCCATGTTCGGTTGTGAAAAATATGAACTTCCCGATCCACCCCAACATCCATAAATTTAAGGTTTAACGCTCGCGAGGACGCCTTTTTGAGGGCGTGGCTCAATGTTGGTCCTGAAAATATGCATTGTGTCCTGAGCGTCCCAAGAATTGTTGAGATGGAGTAAAATAAGACATTTATTCGGATGCGCCCCAGGTAGAAGGACAAGCAACCACAGTCTAGAGGGAGGCCCCTTTGTGTTGATGCAAAAAAACAATTTCAATAACCATGTATTGAACTTGCTGATGAACAATACCAAATTGCAATGGAATCGTGATAGGGTGGTTTTGGATGGTGTTGTAGTGGGAGGCATCCAAGCGACCGTTTTTGAATATGGATATGGATCCACATGTTCACCAATTGAACTGAGCAGCTGGTGTCACTGCTGGTGTCATCTACTCTGAATGACCAAGGCCACTGTAGGCCACTCTTTAGCCTGGACTCGATGAATGCCCCCTTGCACAAAGCACTTCACACAAGCCTTCACTGTCAATCCAGTTGTGGCTTGCCAAAGGCCTACATTCAACTCATACTAATTTGGACGAAAACACGGCACAAAGTGCCGACACTAAACCATGTTCAAACAAGGTTGTGCTTAGCTGTCACTAAACTCAGGGCATGAGAGGAGCTTTACCACACCACCAGCGCGGGAAGACCTACAGAGAAACCACTCCCGAAAATGGACAGCATTCAGTAATTACACACCAAGGTCTTTATCACTTCACCCTTCATCTACATTACAGTATATTACAGTTCAAGGCCACGCCTACTTGCACCATGCTTGGGCCAATGCAGCCCTTACCACCTGACACTTCAGCCGGGCCGAGGCAACTGACGCCCAGGCATAGTGGCTCGCCTTGCTTACCTCTAGCCTGAGATGAAAGGACACAAATGATCCAAAAGGTACGGCTTGCTACTAGTAGTAATGCCCTTTGTTACTAGTAGCGATGCCCTTTGCTACTAGTAGCGTCCGTAGCAAGGTCATGTTCATGCACTTCTCATGTCCATCTCACCGGGTCATTTGATCAAGTCTCAATGCAAGTAGTTGGACATACGATTCTTCCTCCAGCGGGACCAGTATCCTTCGTGGGGCCTAATTCATGTATATAAATGAATATAACTGACCAAACCCACCAATTTGGCATTGGCATAGCATTACACAGGTTCCCCAAATGTTTCAAGTTACCACTATGCACAAATGCACAAAGTCTTTGCAGTTTCACGGTCACTCCTCCAACTGACGTGCCACTGTTAAACAGCCATGGACACCATCGCCATGTGGCAGTAAAGGGAAGCGTCCAAAAGGCTTCCCACCACCAGGGCAAACCTGCGCTGCTTGAAGGTGTAAAGGAACATATATCGCCACTGTAAGTGGGCCCAAACTCATGAAAAAAACGAACTGCCCGGACTGCGACACAAGACTAGGACCAATGCATGCAAGGCTCGATACCACCTGGTTGGGATTCAAGCATGGAAGGGTTTCGTAGTTGCTTTTGGGCGGCACCTTGAAAATACACGCATGGCATCTGTCTCCTGAAAGTTATGTGTTATATATTGTTATATCATGTTACACCTGTCAAACCATCTGGCAAGATCTGGCAAGTTCAAACTTGGGCACAACCAAGCTGAAACAGATCGCATGGAATCCCAGAACTGTCATTCACTTAGAAGGCTTGTCCATGCACCTTGGAATCTTGGCGCATTGGTCTATCAAAACCTCCCACCCACTGGGTGTTGGTCACCTATGCAATGCAGGTGCAAACACTTTTGAATAGATCTTCCCAGTCTGCAACGGCTGAACATTGCCGGATTCGCCACATCTGGGGCTCAGCACCTTCCACTTCGCCCTCCTTCACCTCAAACACCAAGGGATTTAAAAAAGAAACGCACGAAAGCAACCTTCAACAAAAAGGTTTGCTTTCTGATGGAACCAACCCTTGAATGAGACCAAACATTCATCTCGCGGATCCACAATTGCACCACCTGACGCAGTTTCGAAGCTCATTGGCGCCCTTTGGAGGATGCAACTAGTTTGGTCAAAAGGACGCTGGACCATGGATCTGCAGGTTCTGAGTCGGCTTGTAGTTCTGAGTAAGGAGCTTACACCAAATGTTCTATTTCGGCTGCTTTGGAAGCACAGCCGTCTTAGCTCCACTAAGACGGGACCCCTCCTAAAAGCCATTCCAAGCGAGGCACGTAGTGACGGACCGACACCAACGGCCGAACGGGCCGTAACATTTCTCGTCGGCTCGCAGCTGGTGCTATCCGGGTGTTTTTCCACTGACCCTGCGATTGTCCTTTTGTTGGGGCTGCAGTGCATCTACCGCATCTTATCTAGAAAAGGACCCTGCGTGAACTTTACATTATATGGCCATGCCAAGGTGACGTCAAGTGGCCTATTTCTAGACCGCTTTACTTCTCAAGTGATTGGGAAACTCTCATCACTCAGGCCCTGTTCAGTGGGGAAGATATTTGCGGCGCCTAACACCTCTCCAGAAACCCCACTAGCAAGGCCAGGTTTCTGACGTGTCCTCATAGCAAAGACTGCGTGACTTGGACTCGGAATTCACACGCGGAAGTGAATTCGATTGAGTTCAAGAGTGTAAGGATTTTGGTAGAGCAAACCCTGTTTCAACACAATGCTTGTCCTGTTTCTTGACCTTGGTGGTGAAGGGCCCGGCACAGCTGCAGTTTCGGTTGGAAAGATCCCGGCAAACATGGTGGAAATGACTCTCAAACATCTTTGGTCTGAGAGGCGCAAGCTCGAAATGATCAGGCGCAAGCTCGGATGAGTCATGGAAACAATCTGAAACAATCTGGTCCAGTTGCTAGCCTGGTGACTTGCACCACCTGGGGGCCCCAAGCACCCGGGAGCGGCCGAAATGGAGGGCAAGTTTAGATGTGTTCATGTGTAAAAACCCTACGCGTACAGTATAATTACATATAAATATATAGCATTGTATAACAGCACATGATGTGGTATTATTGTGTAATGCAAGGTGCATGGATACGCCACAACCTGTGCAGAGTGTATAGGACTCGCCGTAGCTCTAAACTCCTTGGGGTGGGCTGGTGCAGGATGTGAACATTGGGGCTCGGAAACCATTGCAATGAAAGGAAGGCCTGGCATCGAGGAACTTATGTGGATATATATGTGGATAGCATATTTCAAGATCAGTGAGCAGTAAAATGACCGGCTCTTGCGCCAGCACTATACTGTTGAGGAATCCAAATCAAGTCCTATTTTGCCTTGAGCCATCTCAAAGCCTTTTCGGGGAGCCTTTGGGTGCGAACTTCTACCTGTTGATATGTGTGACCGGCTGCCTGGCCCTGTGGCGCTCTTTGTCACTCAGAAATGGGGCCGCATTTGAGGCGTCCCAGGAGCAGCGGGACCTCAGTGAGGCATGGGTCGTAGGATGCTGGCAGCAAGATCTAAGCTGCAATGGCAAAGTTGGTGGTCCAGGGCCACCCCAAAGCCTCAAGAAAGTTGACTACACCATCTGAAGAAAGTTGGTCAGGTGGGGTGAGAACCTTCCTTCTTCTCGCAGCCGCTTCGTATACTTCCTTTCAACTATATATGCACGGACCTATTTGGCCCTCAAATTCAGGCTCCAAAAACAAAGAGCCCAGCCCCGGCACCACTTTTTATCATGAATCAAGTATGGTCATTGTCATACGTTACGTAAGCTCATACTGGCCCGAAATCATGTGTATATATATTATGTTTGTATACAGGTTGGTGGTTCACATCACTTGAAACTATTAGTCAGTGGGTTCATTCATCCCAAATCAAGGTTGAACGTAAACTATCTGAAACCACACCTCCATGATGGTGATAGTTTTCTATCAACCTGGTTGCCTTTGGAAGGTTCCATGTGGTGAATCGGTGCTCCGCTGCATCCGTGCAAGACGGGGCACGCTGCTGTTCGAAGAGGTGACTTGAGTCTGCTGTTTGAAACCTGTTTGGTTGGCTTCCGCAGCTGCCATGCCCAGTTCGTTTCATCATCATTCAATATAGAGGCTCATATCCATGGGCAGTGCAATCTTCCCACCAAGATGCGTGGCACGGTTGACCTTGGCGGGTCTCAGGACAAAAAGGCTGAAGGAACAGCAAGAGCTACCAAGTAAATGGCCCTGTCTGTTGAAAGCAGTTGCTGTACAATCCTTACACTTCACATTCCTGGTCGGGTATCTGACTTGAGACTGAACCATCCCCAAGTGCTTGGTTTAAACATGCTCAAGCCAAAGCAGAATGTCCATGCTGACCGCTCAGTTTGCTCGGAACATTACATTTGTAATTACCTGACTCATGTGAGGGAAACCAACTGAAACTGACCTGCTAAAAGGGTTTTGCAGGGGTCATCACACTGCAAGGATTCTGTGCGTGCTCCAATTTCTGTGCGTGCTCTTGAGAACAGGTGCTGCGTGCTCGGACTGCCCAACGAGCCCTGCCAATGCGGTGGAAGCAACCTGCGCTGTGCATTGCATGGTGAGCACCTCCGGCTCTGAAACATGTCTGAAACTATGCTGTTTGATGCGCGCTCCAAAACATCTGGAATTTGGCTGCCTTAAAGAATTTGTTGCCAACTGCATTTGGGCATGATTATGATGCTTTTCAGGGTAGGATTGTGAAGCTATGTTAAAGGACAGTTGCTTAAAAGGTTGCGCTTCTGAATTGTTTGGACTGTCACTGGGGACAGCTTAAACGATACGTGCAGGTCGGGTGAAAGACCCTTGAATGTTGTATTGGCATCATTTGGCATGGGAATGAAAGACTGATTGGTTCATCAGGGTGGCTGGTCAGGGTCAGAAGCAATAGCATCAAGAACTCGTTGGAGCCTACGTCCCAGTTCCAAGGTGCATCAACCAAAGGTGAAAGGTTGGAGGGTCTCCAGATGCTGATCGACACCCATTGGTCCAGAGCGTGTGCAGTGTGCAGGAGTCGTGGCGTTCGCAAACAACGCAGGTCTCCAGCCTTTGCGGCTCGGACAGCGGCCCAGCCAGGGGTGTTGCCAGCGGCGCCCGCGACGAGTAGGTGACTCCTGGAGTCAAGGCCCTGGCTCCCAAACGGTGTGGCCACAGGCATTAAAACTGGACATCTTAAAACTCCAGGGAGCTGCATGATTGGATACGGAAATCCAAACGACGTTGGGCTCCTGCTCCGGTTCGACACTACGATTGTCCAACCCAACAGGGAGCAGGTACAGAATGTGAATGCATCAGGAAAGGCAAACCATCGGGGAAAGGCAAACCATCGGCGACAAGGCGGGTCAAACCGCTGCAAAAAGGAGTCTATTGAACAAACAAACCTTGAAATCTCTGCCTTGGGGGACAAAATTCCTGCACCACCATTACGAACGGTTGAAGGGATACGGACCATTGCCCCCCCCCAAAAAAGATAAACATACAAATTTAGGAAAAGGAGGGGAAAAGTACATCTTCATGATGACTTTCTGCGAATGTTCCAAACGACTCTCATCTCACAGTGCACGCGAAACCCGCAAATCACAGCCCGTGCACAGGAATCGTCCTGGAGGTCTGGCAGGCCATCCAGGATTCGGCCGTGGCGCCTGTGGCAAGAAACATAAGTTTCGACCATCCATAAAGATTATATAGTAGATACATTCAGTCATACAGTGCAGTAGGTGTAGAAGGAGGATTCCCAATTGCAACATGGAAGGAAATCTGAAAAATGGAGCACGTGATGCAACAGCATGCCCCCTAAGAAAACGGTTTGTCTGCTTTCCGCCAAACGATTGGAACGTGCACCAAGGCATTGCAATTGATAGACTGGCCATCCCCTGAATGATGCGAACGCAAGAGTATCCCCCCGCTCGTTTAACGCAAGAACAACAACCGCAAACTCAGTACCTTCCGCAAACTGAACTCTACCCCGCGTCTACATTGTATAGCACATGCAAAACATAGCAAAAATATGTTATCTGTTATATTGATTCACAGGGCATGTCCATGTACAATTCGTTACATGTGTAACTGTATATACACATATATATATATAGATATAGAGAGATATACAACTATTATATACATATGCATGCCTGCCAGACTGCCTGCCAGCATTTGGCCAAGCCACACTGAAGCTAGCTGGTGTTCTGTTTGATGTTGGAGGCCTGGGTCCAACACCGAGCACTCCGAGCACGCTTTTCTTCCCCCAAGCTGCCACACTGCCGGGTGGTGGGGGTGGGGGTAGTGCCGGGTAATGCTTTATGACGTTCAGTGCTTAGTGAAAAATGAACAGCTGCTTTCTGTCAACCTGTGTGGTTTATCTGTGAATGCAGTCTAACAGTCTAACAGTGTAACTACCACACATCAGCCGGACATTCCAAAAAAAGGGTAACCTCAAACAAAAACAAACAACAATAACACAACATTCCGGCAGGCGGATAGCCTGTGTTCTCTGCTGGTTGCAGACATTGGGGAAGTGGCTGAACCACTAGCACCAACAATTGAACGTGAGGCTCTCTTTTGTGCTGGTTATGGCGCCGAGACCTCCAAGTGCCACCAAAAAGAAGTTCCAAGGCACGTGCGCAGACCAAAAAAGAAGTTCCAAGTACCTGAGCACAAACAGCGGCCTACACCCCTGCTTGACCCAGTCTTGGACACTTCCAAGTGCTAACTTCTCCCCGAACATGAGCCTGAATTTGGGACCTATTTGCTGCACATTCTGGCCCCACACCCTGTGATGCAAAGCTTTGTTTCGGCCATTGAACCAGCCGGAAGATTCACTGATGCAGGAGCTCGCAGTGGCCCTTGTTCAAAAATGAGCACATCCCGCCCCAATCCTGAAATTATATAGCTTGCTCAAACTTGTGAGTACAACATACAGCACAGCCATGCCAATGAAAAGTTATAGTGCCAACCCCGGATTAACAACCCCCCCCTAGAATCTTAACAAGACCTGAGGTACTGTTCATGGGGCCCACTTTCCCTGAATCAGCTGCTAGGAAAGTTGGTAGGAACCAAGGGTGAGAAAGGAGATTCGGAGAATCCAAGTAGAAGTAGTAGTATATAGTCGTAGTCGTCGTAGTAGTGGTCGACCGCAGCAGCAAAAGGAGTAGTAGTAGCAGTAGTAATGGTAGTAGTAGCAGTAGTAGTAGTAGTAGTATGTATTAACAATAGTAGTAGTAAGGTTTCTCAAGGCAGGAAGCAAAAGCAAAAATGAAAGGCCAGGTACCGGGAAATGGTAGCAGTTCTGATGCTTTGGAGGGAACCAGCCGTTGCGGGGAGGTTCCCTGTGAGGGCTTCTCAAATGATCGGTTTACAGTAATGGCTTTTTGGACCGGAAATGTAAAAACCCTGAACCCTACACATCTTCTGGAAAAGACATGGAAAACCACCTGGAAAGCAAGAAATATAAAAAACATAGATTAAAATTGAACTTCTTGTGTCGACCTTTCATTTTTGAAAGGCCCAAAAGCAAAGTAAAAAACACAACTCAACCTGGCAACCAGGTGCCACAGCCCAGGTGCCACAGCCCAATTGGACAACATCTGGGCAAGGGACTGGACACCATACAATGACTGGATCTCGACTCCAAAACATGTTTGCCGACTCCAAGCACCGCTGCCGAAAGGCTGTCTAAGTTTGTCTCGCTCGGGGATTCTGGCGGCCTTGGCAGATCAGCAACACCAAAACACAAATTACATCAGATTACAGGAGGAGAAGGCTCCGCAGCAGCAGTCGACACGAATAGTGAAAGCAAACTGAATGCAACAGTTGTGACAATTGATATCAATTAAATCAAATTTGAACCGTCGCTGGATGGAACACCTAATTACATATATCATATATCATATATAATTAAGTGATTGCTGGGGACGGTGCGCGTTTACTCTCTTTGTGCGGCGTGTCAAGGTGGAAAGAACATGCGTGATTCACTGCTGCTTCTGTCCTGAGGTTGTACACGTGGGATTCCGCTTTCAATCGGCTCATGTTGTTAAACCGGATTCGCAATGGCACAACCACTGGGCTCGTCCCAGCAGCAGATGTAAAACCTAGTCAAATTTGTCTCAAAAGAAGCGGGGGCCCAACCAAAGGGCTTTCTTTCATCTACTGTTCCAGTGCAGGTTCTCGCGGGTTGCGGAGTTTCCCATAAAAGTAACACGGTGGGCGTTTCCTATAAAATGACATGCCTTGACCAAAGCTATACAATCTAGACTCTGAGCCAGTTTAGCCCCTGAGTTTGGACAAGGAATTTCCTCTACCAAAAGGCCTTGCACACTGATGTTGGACAACTGAAGGGTGGCATCGGATCACATAGAGAGTCTTCCCAGCTTGACCAGATAGCAGGGAGAAAAGTTGCTTCACTACCAAGTATTCATTTGTAGTCCCCTCAGTTCGAGATCAACCACAGCGAGCTATGGTCCTAAGCTAGCAAAATGACAAATTTTTCTCTCTCTCTCTCTCATTGAAGTGGACCCCTATATGCACACACACAGACACAAACACACACACACAAATATATATATATATATAATATGCATTTTCCCCATACAAAGAGGGAAAGAGGTGACATGTTGCCCAGTCAAGATAGTCGAGATAGTGAAGCCTATATAAGTCTAGGCAACCTCTATTGAGCTCACTGCTGCCAGGTGGCGCTGGAGGGACCCCCGGCGCCGTGGCTTCTCTGCGGGGCGACGAGGGCGAAGACGCCTTAGGCTCGTTGGAGGCTTCAGCGGCGTCCTGGGTGGCGGTGTTTTGGACGGATCCAGGTTCGGTCCTTCGTTTTAGGGGACCAGTGATGGACCCCTGCATCATGTTTCTTTTAAATAAGTGCGGTGGGACATTTCGATACATATAGTTATATACCGTGATATACCACACAAAAAAGTCACAAATTATTTCACTATAGAGGGGAGAATTGTGGGCACCAGTTGAATCATGTTGAATCCAGTCCATTAGCAAACAGCTTTTCCCCGATCAAAGAGTCACGTACATGGCGAGGTCAGAATGTCTCAAACGTGAATCTCAAGACCCCTGGAATCTTCACCCCGAGCGTTAGCCGCTTTAGCCGTTAGCCCATATCTGAAGAGAAGTGAGGACTTCCCAGGTGGAAACATGCAATGTGAGCCTTCTCTGCACCTTCCAACAGCCGCATCGGTTATCCAGCTCGAATATCATTTGCTGGACATGAGGGGTCAGTGATGCATCGAGTGGACTCCCGAAGTACACTCACCTTCGACAACAAATTGGCCGACGCAAGGGCCTGAAGCAACCGAATCTCCTCCGGAATGGACTGGACCGCCCAATTCCGACTCAAAAATATGTCAATGTCGCTGATCCATCACACGTCCACACTCTTTCTCCCTGTTGGCCCGCAACCTGCAAAGGCAAACATGTACGAAACATCAACTGCCTTGAGCCCAGCGCCTCCACCCCACCCATCTCTACAAACAAACGTCCAATCCGACAAGCCCACTACGACCCTCACCAATCCATGTCCTTCATCTCTGCCAACTCCAGCATCCCGCTTACAGCGGGTTGCAACACCGTTCGCCTGCGGTGTGCGCCACCACTGCCGGTGCTGCTCTTGACTTCGGCCACATGCATAGGCACCTGACGACCGGCGACCAAAGCGTTTCTCAGTCACTTCAACAGCCACAGAACCCCAAGCAACACTGCAATCACGTGGATTCTTAGAAACTTGAGCATCCCTTTTGTGTAGTTTTTTGGGGTACTTTTTGTGCATCGATTGATGTCCTGGAAGGCCACAAAATGATATCTCTGGGTACTGTAACTTTGGCTGACCTGCTGGATGCTTAGCGGGGCGCCTGCTTGTCATCTGCCAAATGGCAGTTCAACAGTTACATCCGCTTGACTTGGACCTTTTCAAGCTCCAACCATGGAACCTTTCAGTTGCATGGTCGTTGACCCCTGCCACCTTGGCCATTTCCCCCACAACATACACACACACACACCAGCTGGCCTCATCATACAAAATGTAAAAGACCTTGGAGCAAAATCGCGCTAAGCCCCAAGGATCCAAAGGGCTTGAGCGCACAAACTTTCTTGGAAGCCGTCGAGCAAAAATCCAAAAGACCCTTATGTGGCATCTACCGTAGATGGGCGAAATATTCAAACCCTTCACCACATACACTTCCCCTCCCATATCCCCATAAAGCCCGATGTAAGAAAAGCGTTTCCGGAGACTACGACTGAAGTAGAGATTGCTCAATAGTGCTGCTGCCACCCAAATATCACTTTTGAGGCTTGCCATGGGGCAAAGGATACGCTCCCGCACACCAATGTTAGTTTCGTGGCGCATACCGGCTAAGAATTGACATCAAGACTCCAATGGATTGCATTTGAGTATGTGCCAGACCATATGAATAAAAAGAGCTTAAAATTCACCTATGCCCTGCGTGTTCCACGAAGATGCTTGAGTGTATCTGGATCTAAGGATGTGACGCAATCTAGACGCAGTCCACGTTCTTCGGCTGCCTGCTTGACACGGGGGCCGTCTTGTTTCCGACAAATTGTCTGTCAAACTGGGGCCCCTACGACAAAAGGGAACATAGACTGAATATCTCGAGGGCTCGTCACCTTGGCAAACATGAGTTTAGCACATATTGATATAGGATATATAGGGTTTCGGGTGACCTATAGATGGGACACGAGTGCTCCACACCAACGTAAGACGTGACCTATATACAGTTCTTTCCTTCTCGGACGTAGAGTATGGGAGTGCGTCACCGCGTCACCGTGCGTCGCCGCTCCGTGCGACAAAACCCGTCGCCTTGAGATTCTCCTCTCTCTCTGCGGCTTTTCGAAGGCCCTTGGGATAACGGACAGAGCTACCTGATTTCGGCTGAAGCAGTTGTCCACAGCAGGTGGAACACAAAGAACGTTTCACAGACTCATGCAGGACTTGAAGACGGGGAAATGATGGGAAATTATGGAACATTGATTATAGATTGTAAATGTGTATGTGATCTGTTGCGGGACATGGAAAGCATCCGCACAACAACCAAGAGTACCATAAGGCAGAAAATCCCTTCTTCTCAGGTGGAGTGGGACTACTTTCAACAACTGCCGTTAAGACGTCCGGCGTTTGCCAGGAGCGTAGATTCTGCAGCTACTGAGCAGCTGGTGGTTGGCAAGCGACCTTTTTCTTCGTATCATCTTAATCATCCGACTGCTGTCTCCCACTGGATTTGCCTGGGAGATTTGAGACCCAACACAGTGAGAATATCTTAAAGTAGCAGCTGGAGCTAAACGATGCTAAACGGTTTCTCTTACCAAATTTACAGCTTGCTGGCTCGAGAAGGATTCATAATGTTGCAGGAAGTTGCGTACATCTTGCAACAATGTCAGTCACGGTGTGGTGATTATGTGAGGCTAGGACAGGTTCAATGTCAATCCTTCCCCAAACCTTGTTTGAAACCCTGGGGGCGGGTGTCTTTGTATACAATTGTAAAGCCTCGGATGCGGACATCATTTGTGCAAATTAGATCATTAAGAATTTGGAAATCACACACACACATATAAATATAAATAAGTATAATGCACTCAGAAATCACAGATTGCTAGACATGATTGCTTACCCCTGATGCTACGTCCCAAGTGGGCTCCCAAACAGAAGCGGCATGTATGTATGCTTTTGTGTAGGTATACATATATATGTATATATATATATATATATTACATATATATATATATGTGTGTGCGCTTCAAAT